TTAGGGTTAGAATTAGGGTTAGGGTTAGGGTTAGGCACATTGGTTTTATTGGGATACATGTTCTCTATCCTTGGGCCGGCGGATCAATCATCAAGGCTAGTTTGAGACCCCCACAATGTTTTCACATATGTGCCACACTAATCTGGTGTGCTAAACTAGGCTTGGGCTAGTATTAATATTATGATTTATAGACACATGCCTATAATTAGCTATGATCCCTGTGAGTCTTGAGTTTATTGAAGCACGTAATATTTATTAGCGTATGCGGCGTGGTATGCAAAATGAAAACGAAAGGTCACGAATTCTATTTTTATCCTCTAATCACAGGTCAGAGTAATTCCTCTGTCTAGACGCATGTCCACTTGGTGTTAAGCGAGAAGGTTACTTGTTGCTAATTGTCATTGTACTAAGTAGTGAGGGTTTAAATGGGCGAGTACCGTGAACGGCTGAGGCGTCGTGCTTGCATGAACGTGGGATAGACTAGATGTAGGACGTATAGTCGTTCTTTTCATATTATTATTAATATGATTAATATATGCATCACGGACCACTACCTAGTAGTAGTACCAGGAGTGCTAGTACTAGTAGTACTACTACTTCTACTAGTACCTACTAGTAGTAGAGATACGCATTTTCACCACATATATCACGTGATCGTTGGATTATGATCTGATAAAGTGGGGACAGGAATGCCAGGGTGCATTTTGAGTAGCCTACAGCGGAGATATCCGCCGTCTTATGGTCCGATATTAAAATATGTTGCGTATATATAATATATATGCATTGCTACATGCATGTGTATTATTACAATTTTCTACGAAAGTAATTTACAAATTCGGTTTGGGACTGCAGTTTTACAGAGTGTCAGCGTGTGTGTGACAAGACTGGCAAGGGATATTGCAGTGGCTTTGCCTGATCGCATAGGCAATGGATTTCTACGGTTGCAGCGCCTACAATACATTCTGAGGCAAGTTACTGCACTGTCAGATGACAGTGTTATTTTACAGATGTGTAATGATGCAGTGGTAGCTCTAAACCAAGCCGAGCAGCTCCTCATCAACCAAGAAGGTAAAATAGTTACATGTTTTGTAGCGTGCTTACAGCTCGCTAGAACCGCGTTAGTAACTGTTTCTGTTTACTGTTTCCATCTCTCGGACTTTCTCGCGGTAGTGCGAGCCATCTACCGTCGCACCGTAGAAATCAGGTCAGAGTGTAAACACAGACGTTCATACTAGCTCTTCTTCTTGTTTTAAATATACAACTGAAAACGGTTTTGTTTAACTTCACCTCGAAAGAAGTGAACCTAGAATTTTCTGTGAAAAGCTGTTTGCAATTTTTGCTACCTCACAGAACATTCCTTTTGAGTGAAGCTTGTGACAAAGTTACATTTTTATGTTCAGCTCATCATGCCACTCAAACTCCCCTGGTGCCATGCCATCATAGTCAAAGGGCTGGACGGCCTGGCTTCGTAATACATAGGGAACAGTTGGAGTTTTTACTGGATTACAACTTTAAAGTCACGGACATTTCAAGAATGCTAGGTACTTTCAAGCTTTCATTTGCAACAACTAAATTATCAACATCGATATGTTTTCCTACCCATATATGACACTCTCCTGAGTGTTTGTTGTATGGGATTTTGTAAATTTTTAGCTGAAACAAGTTGAGCTATCTGCAAGAACACATGGTCTGTTGAAGAAACAAGCAGCTATGCCAGGCCTCATATTTTATACTTTCCAATGATCTACCTGTTTGCAGCTTCATGTTGAGGTGTCCGACCGAATGGGTTACATTTTTGGTGGTTGTTTGTCATAAACTACCCATTCCGAAATATTTGCAGATAATATCATTGTGTCAATATATATTATATTTTAGTTATAATTACACCATACATGTACAGAAAAGCTCTATCGGTGATTAGGCCTTAAAAAAACGTTTGTTTCCGCTAACCCGACCGAATCAATTTTAAACCGCCGTGTCGAAACATTTTATTGTGATCGGGGAAAAAAAAATTTAATATGTAAAAAATGTTTTCTTTAAATAAACAAAATTCCAACGTGATATCGATCGGTGAATGCATTGATTTGACTTTGAAGTCATTATGTGGGCTGTTATAAGTATAAAACAAGTATTGTTAGAATACAAACAAAAATAAAAAATATTTGATAAAAAAAAAGTTTTGCCTGCCTACCCGTGTCCAATTTTTTTCAGCTCCTTAGCAGAAACAAACGTCTTTTTTTCTTAGGCCTTAGTAACAATTCCTTTTTGTGATAGGTATGTAAATTGCTGATCGAGAAAGAAAATTGTGATATATCCTACTGGCTTGTTATCATGCTGCGAGTGAAGAGCAAAGTTATTTACATCCACATTATTTAATTTACATATGAATTTGTGACTTCAGGAGTAAGTCTGTCAACCATCAATAGAAGGCTGCAAGAGTTCAACCTTGCTGCCAGACAAAAATATGCACTTCTCACTGATGCTGAACTTCAGGCTCTTGTAACAGATGCTGTTCGTCAGTTTCCAAACAGTGGATACAGAATGATACAGTCACATCTGTCTTCACAGGGCATTAAAGTAAATATACTTTTAACCAGTTCACTTTACAAGTGAAACACTTTTGCCCAACTGTACTAAATATGCAAGGCTTCCTCTTGTTAGTAGGTAGCCAATACGGCAAGAAATTAGCTAAATTCATCACATTTTGAGTTTTTTGGTGCAAAGTATAACTGGCTCTTGCTATTCAAGGAGACTATTCAAGACTATAAAAAGTTTGCTGACTAATGAGAACACTTCAGTATGGTAGTGTTATGACTTATGGAATAAATGTATATTTTTGGCGAGACCTGGAAAATTAGCATGAGTGCTTCAAAATGTACTTTTCCACGAGTGTTTCTGTTTTTGTTTAGGTTCAGGAATATCGTATTCGATCAGCAATTAGATGTGTAGATCCTGAGGGGGTACTTCAGCGTGCGCTTCAAATTTCGTTCATTCAGCGTAGGTGCTACAGTGTTCCAGGTCCCAACTGCCTGTGGCACATTGATGGCAATCATAAGCTAATCAGGTAGGTAACAGGGACTTTCTTACTTTGTGAAATGGATGAAACTTTCATAAATATTGTTGAAATTGTTGGACGAGACTGGTAGAAAAATAGTTGCTAGTTTCAGTGTAAACACATGGCTTTCCTTTGGTTTTATACACAGGTGGCGCATAGTTATTCACGGTGGTATAGATGGATACTCCCGTAAGTTAATGTTTCTAAAGGCCAGCAACAACAACCGAGCATTAACAGTGCTGCAAGGTTTCGAGGAAGCTGTTTTACAGTTTGGTGTTCCTTCCCGCATTAGAACTGATAAGGTACGTATGGGTTAGCTTAAAGCGTGTATTGCGAGAATTTTCCTGTGTTGTTCCCACTTTCATGATACCTACCGTTATTGTTTGAGTAACAGCAACTGTCTACTAGACTCTAGAGTAACGATAAAATTTCTTACAACCTTCGCATTCACCAAATCCAATGAAATCTGGATTCCACAGAAAAATGTCAATCTAACTGGTTAACAACTCTACAATCATACTTATGTGTTATATTGTGTTTTAGATTCTTCGTTACACTAACACTAATGTGACTGGAACATTTTAGGCGTAGCGCCATCTCTCGCTAAGATTTCAGACTTTTAGATCTGAAACATTTATGTTTGCATCAAAAAATAGGCATATATCATTATCAAGAGTATATAATGTCAGATATGCTATATAATGGGAGTTCTCCCATATATACTCTTGTTTTATATAATGTAGGTGGATAGCTGCTGAATTAAAAATGACTTGTTGGCACTCGCTCATTTGTGTACTTTTTTGTGGTGAGCTATAGTGTCATTGACACTCATTATTTCAAGGGAGGAGAGAATCGGCTTATTGCAGAATATATGCTGCGGCATAGGGGAACTGGTCGAGGGAGTCATATAGCAGGCAGAAGTGTTCACAATCAAAGGTATTTCTGATAGTTTGATTTACTGCACGTTTCTCTGATGCATATTTTCTTATTGAAATGTGACATTACATGGTTTGTACGCATCATGGGAAATCATGGAAACCCTTGAAATTGCAGGCCTTGGAAAAACACACACAAAAAGATTTAGTATGGGAATTTCACTTACGTTTGATGGAAATTCTTGATTTAAGTGACAAATCTGTGTGCTTGTCATTTGGTTCGAAGTTTTATTTTGATGATTTCATGTGCTTCAAAAAAAGCTAAATGTCATGGAAAAGTCCTGGAATTTTACTGCATGGTCTCCATGTGTGCGAACCATGCATTAACATTTTTTATCTCTAAATTTCCCTTTCAGAAGTGCTCTTTTTAAGAGTCATGCAAGAAAGATATGAAAATTATAATGAAATTCTTGAAAAATTGATTATTTTCTTTGCTACTGTGTTGCAGAATTGAACGGCTATGGAGAGACTTGTTTGTTGGTGCTACAAGTTTTTACTGGAACCTGTTTCACAGGATGGAATCATCTGGTATTCTTGATCCGTTAAATGACATTCATCTTTGGGCACTTCATTATGTCTTCACTCCTAGAATTCAGAATCATTTGACACTGTTCAAGGAAGCTTGGGATAATCATCCTTTAAGGACTGCTAAAAACCACACCCCAAATCAGCTGTGGATTCAAGGACGATTAATCCAATGCAATGCTGAAGTTCTAACAGAGGTGTGTACCTAATGTTACATACAAATCTTAACATCAAATGCAGTAGTTTCTTCAATTTCAGCCAATAAATACCCGATATTTAAGGGTGAATATTTTCCCACAAATTTTGAGCGGTCTTGCTCCTTTTATTTTCACAAATAAGTCATATTGCAAATGCTGCTTACATCTTCAAATATCATTTTTAAGTTATCACTATACTGGAATACATGTATTTTTGGTGTAATCTGATGCTTATCACATCTCAATTTTTATTACTTACTAATAAGGCAATTTAATGTTTTAAGGAGACTGCTCAAATGTATGGTGTGGACTGGAGTGCCCCGGCAGTGCATGATACATGTATGTCAGCTGTTGAAGTGCCGGAGACTCCTGCATTTACTGAACTGTCCACAGCTGTGCTACACAGGGTGAATCCTTTGGCGGAGTCATGCAATTTTGGCAGAGATTTATATGAAAATGTACTTCTTTTAGCTCAGCAGTGTTCTTGAAAACTCACCAGTCTACGAGTTGACAAACCATGCACGAGTTGACACAAACTAATAACTGCTGTCATATTTTTTATGAAAATATTTTTGAATATGTTTACAGACTTTATGATAATGCTGTTAGAACATGTTGAAATGAAAATAAACACTGATATTGAACATGTTAATTACACACATGAATGCCTATATTTCCTGTAAAACTCACATTTATAAAAATTATTACTCGTAATATTTCGGGATCAAACTAGTAAACAATTTTATAAAACGTGTCTTGTATTAGCACCAATTAATGCTAAAACTGGTACCGTGTCTCTATACTTTGTTAATACAGTAAAACTCGCGTAAGTCGGCTCGGAGGTGGGCAGTACGTCGAAGTCGACAAAATGACGACTTACGCGTATGTCGGCACAAATATGCTAATCCCAAAAGTGTCGACTTATGCGAGTTTTACTGTAAAACTATAGGTAGAGACAGGGCACCAGTCTAACATTGGCCCTTGCGTAGCGGCGTCGGCTGTGTATAAACAAAATATAACACCCTGCCCATGATGTGTCAAGTACTTTCCAATAACCCAATGCACTTCATACAGCTCCTTGACTACGGAAACAATAGCCGTAACCAGGCAACAAACCAACACAGCTGCTCACCTCACGAGTTGCAACTGCTGTGCAAAGTCCTAACGTATTTACTTATTACCTAATTACCTAATACATAATAACCTATTTAAGTGAAAAAGCCTAAACGTTTCAAGACCCGTGGTAGCTTCGTGTAACATTTTTAAATTACTGAAAAAATGAAGAAAATAATACTCAAACCCCAGTTACTACAGCACTGGATTTTTCGTGCAAAGAATGAGAATGCACCCATAGCATCTACAATATTCTATGCTGCATGCTCCCCTACCTGTGCACTTACTTCAATCTTTGTTGTTATAAACTCTCTTAGATAGAAAGGCGCACTTCAAGGCTTTTAGCTGTTTACTCCTGCAGCTGGTTCTCATAACTGACAACTGACAGCTTCCTTTATCCACCTACGGGTGGCGCATAAGTCGGTACACACCTGTCCCGGTTTTACAATGTCAACCCTATGCTAGTCCAAAACCATGTGCCCCAATGATGCCCTCTTTCATCCACTCGCTGAATTTGTCATAGCTATCATGGCTTGTTGGCAAATATAACACATTCATGCATGTACTGGCTTTCGGCAACAACCCGTCAACAAATTCAATGGTGGGGGTAGGATGGAAACCCATTGGTGGCTCTCGCTCCAATGCTGTGCTGAATATTAGTACGTCTCGTAACTGCACTGTGTTAACAGGATCTGCAGATAAAAATAGCAATGTCAACATGAAGAGTTGCATGTGCGGCATATGCATATTACGTTTAATATAATAACAACAAGTGCCAAATGGTTACTTGTAGGGTTGAGAAGATTGCTGTATATGTGGGTAATTAGCATTCTAGTTTCGAGCCCTGGTCAATTATAACAGTCACAAGAAATCAGTCATTACCTTCACAATCTTCTACGAAGTCTCTCCAGTATGTCACTGCCACTTCCTGCACCATCCTAGTATTGCTGCCTGTTTCTGACGTATACGTTACTCGAAACATAGCAAGGACAGATTGCGAAGTCAGCTGGACCTCCGTTTTCATAAAAACTCGCTGGAACATCTTTCTGTGGTTCCAAAGCAGCGTTTTTATTCCACATGTGCTAGAATGTTAAAAAAACATAATTATGCATACGGGCATGAATAACCGGTTGCCACAATGCTTTGCGCTGTGGTGGACAAATTCACCGCATCTGGTCAGCCGGCAGCGTGATTTTTGGTATTTGATTTTTGATTTAGTCTGTGTGTTCAGTAGAACTGTCCCTGACCCTAGCTTATCCAAAACCTAACTAAATATTACTGGACTGCCGTAACTGTTGTTACGGTTACCATAGCGCTAGCCACTTTGTTGAAAATATTGCTTTAGTTTACAAAACTTCACCATGAATTATCAAATAATTAGTTACAGTGCAGTGCAAATAATTAGAATTAACACTGACGGAGTTCAAGTTGCTAAAACCTGTTGAAAACGAAACAGTACAGCCACATGTAAAAAAACAGTTAAATTTACATTGATGAGTCGCTGTGCACAACATATTCCTAAGAGTAGTAATGGTTTGCAAAATACTCCCAATGTTTGGAGATAGAATTAAGACATTTGTACCTTGTATCTGTCAATACCTTCTTTTTACATTGATCGCGCTATACATTAGAAGTTTCCAGGAAAATGGTAAATTTCAAAAATGTAAAACCAAATCGACGAGTTTGCATGGTATGCATGCACACCAGTTTTTTGAACTTACTCGAGTCCATCAAGGAAGTCATTCCATGCTGTGCTCAGTCTACCAACACAGTAAAATGTGCAGATGGCCTCCACGATGTCGGATCGATCACTTAATGATGTAATCGGTTTCGTATATCCAGCCACCCCCAGTAGAACATCAACTGGTGGTGCAGTGGTCAATGTAAACAGTTCTTCAATGCTGTCAGCATTAGCCACCTGAAACACAAATAGAAAGACGACAGGAGGAGAAAGGGAACGAGAGACATCCAGGAGGAAGGAGGGAAAGAGAGACAGACAGGAAGAGACAGGGAAAGAAAGACATACAGAAAGAAATTGGGAAAGAGAGACAGACAGGAAGAGAGAGGGAAAGAGAGACAGACAAGAAGAGAGAGGGCACGAGAGACGACAACAAGAGAGAGAGAGAACAAGAGACAGCCGGGAAGAAAGAAGGAAAGCGAGACAGATAGGAAGAGAGAGAGAGGGAGGGAGAGACAGACAGGAAGAAAGAGAAAGAAGGAGAGACAGACAAGAGCAAGAGCCGCAAAGCCAACGCTTCTCGCCATGACGACGACAAGCGCATACGAATCTAGCGATCGGTCGCCGCTCCACGAATAGACGCTGCTGAAGATGAAGAGACAGATGACAACTAGCGAAGCACCGTACGTCGATAGAAGAATAGGACCAAAGATGGCGTCCGTGCGTGCCACGTGCGTGCAGAGGTACTGGTGGCGCCACCGCACTCGTCTGCAGGCGTCCACGCGATTCCCGCGATTTTCTCTCCCGTAAAGCGAAACTTTCTGATTCTTCTCTCTCGCGACTGCCTCCAGAGTCTGAGTAAGCTTTGCGAATTCTAGCGTTAGTATTTTGCACAGGCAGACGATGAAAGACACGGGCAGCATGAAAACGTTCTGCACGTGCCACAGCGAGTGAAAGGGCGCCACCTGGTAGAACGTCGCTTCGATGCTTGACGTCACCACGTCGCCGTACCATTCGTAACCCCAGCTGACATCTTTCTGGTCGTAGGTGGCGTCGCGCTTGAGTCGCCAAGCCGACGCTGTCACTGCGGTGCGCGGGCGTCTCCCGGCGGCTTCTCTCTCACGGGCCACATCCCGAGCAGATTCATGCATCTGAACAGAGGTCGCAGCACGTCGTACCGGTTGTCTTCTTCCGCGGCCTTTCTCCGGAGCGTCTCCTCGTGCTTCGGTTTCTCTTCGACGTCGACGATGGAGACTCTACAATGCATGATGTCATCCGCGCGCGACAAAAAGGAATTGTAATCTTTCTTCCTTGCAATTTTTTTCTCACAGAATTTTCTCGTTTCCTCCGTTTTCCTCCCTTTACCTCTATTTCATCAACTCATCTATCGCGTATGAACGTTCCCGGAATCGTCTCTGCGCATGCGTTTCACGTGACGATGCGCATGCGCACTGCCGTTTTTAATGGCTTTCATATATGTTCACAAGCACAACACACGTCGCCAGTATAGTTACATACACACATGTCGAAAAGGATTGCAACAACAATTGTACCAAAAGGCCCGAAATGCATCGATGCACCGTAGTACTGTAGAAATAAAGCAATACAATGCCATTTGTCAATAACGTCAATGAGGCTTCAATTATATATATATATATATAGAGAGAGAGAGAGAGAGATGGGCGATGGAACGAGAGACGACAGGAACTGAGAGGGAACATGTGACGTCACCTAACCGATTCTTGGCGAAATTGTTTGGCAAACAATTTTGCGTTGGCGCCAGATTACCAGATTCGCACCTCTTTCTTGTGGGTTTTAAGCAAACGCGCAGTGAAATGGGAGGAACTAGAGTTTATTTTGCCATAAGGTAGTGTGATTATGCATGACACGAAGTATTTGCTAGTCTAGTACTGAAAAAATTAGCGTTTGATATGCGCATAGTGCGGCTTTAAAGAATGTGTTGAAAAAAGAGCCCACCAAGAGGCCGAGTAGCTGAAAGATTGCGTGATCAAGCCCCGCGAGAGGGCGCTGCTCGTCGTCCGAAAGCGTTTTATAATATTTACATCGTTAACCAGAGAGAGAGAGAGAGAGACAGAGAGACACAGAGAGAGAGAACGAGAGATTGAAAGAATAATATAAACGTATAAGCATATACACTGTATATAGGCCTGCACACGCACACCGCACACCGCACACCGCACACCGCACACCGCACACCGCACACCGCACACCGCACACCGCACACCGCACACACAACAACACACACACAACAACACATATATAACAATACATTATAGCAATACATTCTAGCAATCTTGGCTTTACTGAGCTGTATTTCAATTAACCTGTGACATCTGACACGCGAGCACCACGCCGCCTACCGTGAGAAGTAAGCCTCTGTCGATGACGAAGAAGTTACAGGCCGTGAGGCCGATAGCGGGTCCGGATAGCTTGGCGACAAACACCTGCATCTATTAAAAATCAATACAAATCGATCGGTAATCGATACGCCCGCACGGGTGGTAGATCTAGCGGGACGTTATGGACGCTCTGACCGCTCTACAAAGGTGACCGCTACGACGGGGTTGCCTGTATTTGCGTGACGTGGCTCGCGTTTGTCATAACACATTAATTATATAGGTACACAATCTGAGAGAGAGAGAGCGAGAGAGAGGGAACGAGAGACGAACAGGAAAAAAGAGGGAAAGAGAGACAGACAGGAAGAGAGAGAGAACGAAAGGCAGACACGAAGAGAGAGAGGAGATAGAGACAGACAGGAAAAGCGAGAGAAAGAGAGACAGACAGGAAGAGAGAGGAAGAGAGAGACAGACAGGAAGAGTGAGGGAACGATGGACAGACACGAAGAGAGAGGGGAAGAGACAGACCGGAAGAGAGAGGGGAAAGAGAGAAGACAAGAAGAGAGAGAGAGAGAGAGAGAGAGAGAGAGAGAGAGAGAGAGAGAGAGAGAGAGGGGGGGATGGAACGA